AAAGCCGGAATTATGAAAGAATTTCTAAAATGATACAATGGTACAGACCGTTAAATCTTACTTCTTACAGCTAGATCAATCCGATTACATTGTTTTCTTTGATACAAATACTACTTAACAACCGTACCAGACCTAATACATTTGTATATACATTCTAATATATACATTATATATACAAATGTATATACGTGTACATTTAAAGTTAAAATTTTATGTTACCTCGTTTGTACATCAATGCATGTACATGTATATCAACATGTTACAGCATTATATAACAAATTTTACTTTCATCATGTATATAAACGTTGCTATACTTAACAACAAACTTTGTTATTTTAGCATACATGTATTATAAATTTAACTATGGCCTAGTATAAGAAAAAGAAGAACTTTATTTGTATTGATCGAAGCCCTATGAAGGACCATGGACAAAGCATAATACGGAAACATGGCAAAACGTAACAAGAAGCCGGGTTGGTGTTCCCGCGAAATGATTCTTAAGTTAAAATGGGAAAGTAGCTCAGTTATTTTTGTAAGTTTTAACTTCTGCTGAGTAACAAAGTTTCTCACTATAGTACGAAAAGTATAAAAAGGATTCAATTATTTACATTGTGTATTTTGCATAGTTTGATTCAGCAATGTTTTGAGATGGTTCAGACCTATATACCCGATGTTCTATCAGGTAGGTCTCGCCATGGGGCCACGAAATGCACGCACCCCTCGTTTTTCTGTTTCTGATTTTAGCGGGATCAGAGACACATTATTGTCCATATGAACCGATATTACAAAATATTCATTCAAAGGTCGGACTAATGGTCTCTGAAAATTGCAAACGCTATGATAAGGCATACTTTGAGTGAAACAGAGTTGTGGAGGGCTGTATGGATGGTGGAGCATGGAGGGCGGAGGGGCGTTTGCGCACACCGCGAGGTTGGTGTGTTGGTGTGTCGCTTGGTGTACATCACACAAATATCACCAGAGAGAAGGCAAAGTACCAACAGTTTAGAGCATCCGTCTGGGGGCATGGCAGAGACAGACAAAAGGTGTCGGCAGTAGCTCGATACCTGTTCTTGATTATCCACTTTATCCAGAAAGTTGCACAATCTACGATGACAAAGACCCTGGATTAGAATTCCTTTGAGTCTTCATCAGTTAGTTTATTTTTTGCCTACATTTTATCGATAGACGTGCGAGATTCTGAAAAAGACCTAAGACATGGTTTCAAGCCGGAAATATTGCTGAGTACGACCTCTACGAGGTGGAAAGGTTATGGTGTGGGGAAGCATTAACTGGGACAGATGTGATAAAAAGAGGTACTTTGACTGGTCATCGGTACATCGGTGAGTTATTAGCCAGCATCTTAGGCTGTATATCGGTGTTTTCATTTTAATGAGTATATTGAGCACCATGACTTGCCAACCCGGTCAACCGACCTAAATCCAATTTAGCACATATGGATCAATCTGTAGGTACGAATATCAGTTCATAAGATGCAATCTAGAAGAATGCAGGAGCTTGAGGTCATGTTGGTGCAAGAATGTGCCGCAATCCCCGCTAGGACTGACAGAAACCTTATAGGGGAGCATAAGAAGGCGTTGCCAAGCAGGCGTCCTTAGTAAATGGTCAAACACGCACGTAACTGAGTCTTAAGTCTAAACTTGTAAACATAAATGAGGTTGTGAAAATTCGGAAAACAAGTTTCGTGCCCAAAAATCTTTGCTATAGAGAGTCTGTCTCTTCTCAATAATTATTAGCATGTACCTTCAACATTTCTGTTCATTGTACAGTTAAGTCGCGATAATAAGACCACTTCAAGGACCTTGATAAAGTAATCTCAAATTTTAAAGAAATTTGTGATGTAATAAAATATCAGATCACCAATATATTTTGATTTGCAAGTGATTTTTCTTTGAAATGATAATTGGTCATAGTGAATTACGTATGCTTTGTGCAAATAAAACGGAAACGAAAGCTCTCACTAGCAAGTTAGAAATTAACAGAATAGACTCATGGATTGGAAAGGTGTGTTAAATCTTAACATAGAGTATATGATCAGACAAAATCTGAGTTAAGTGATGTTTACCCATTCATAATTTGATAAAACCTCAAACATATCAAAAGTTAAAATTCAGATTAGAAACTGCTTTTAACAATTAGTTATTAGATAAATGCATGTATCTATTTTCTTTGGTAAAGTTTAAGTTAGACATTTAATAGTCAAGTGTTATTACATAATAATGAAGGTATCATAGGCGCTATAGATTTGTAATTATGACAATCGGCACCGTTGATTTAAAGGAATCTGGAAATGTCTATTGTGACGTGATAAGACGGCAACTTTTCGGTCCTTCCCGAAGACTACGATTATTGGTAATCGGCGAGGTGCTCAGAATGGTTCAGGGACCTTTAATTAAGCGAAAAGTTAAAATAAACGGACAAGATTATACTCAGTTACTGATTAACTCTCTTTAAATACTAGTGGTTAAAATTAGTCTTAAACCAACACTGACATTCTCAACTGACTCTATACTGTTGCTTACTTAGTTTCAAATTTTGATATTAAAATTATGTATGAAAACATTAAACTATTCCGGTGTAAAATTGACGTTACTTTATGACTTTTAGTAAAGCACATGCACAGAAATTACTGTATAGATATACAAGTTTTCGGGAGTAAACTGTACCGGCTATATTTTCATTATAGGACAACGTGTTTATAAAAATGTTCTGAACTGTGTTGGAAACTTAATATAATATAAAATGTCAACACTATTTATCTGTCTTACAATCAATCTCTCTATATTTTAATGATTTTTTTTTCAGGCTGTAGTTTTACTATTCCAGACATTGTTCATACCAAATGGTATATCAAAATTATCTTAAACTCACAATGTTCTTTTGAATAATGATGTGTTTATATTTACATGTAATGACCTTCTGAAAAACAATATTGAACCTTAGAGAATATGTTTTTTGTGGGTATTGATATATTTATATTTACACGTACTGACCTTCTAAAAAACAATATTGAACCTGATAGAATAGTACATTCTGTGAAAATGTATGAGACTAGGAGATTAAGTATTTAACCTTTGGTCGAAAAACAATCGTCCCAAACGATATACATGTCTTGGAGTTATACAGATTAAAAGAATAAATCTCGTTGGAGGATTACCTATATCTTAACATTATTCGCATGTATAATTCTTTTCTTTAAAGTGAAATTAATTGTTTGAATTTAAAATCTTTGTGTATTAAGTTAAAGTAGAACTTTTGAAGTCGTGGGCATATCCGGTTGCTAGAACATTTTTGAAACGCTGATGTAAAAATATCAGTATTTCGGATATAAGTGTTGTCAATATTTGGATGCTAATTTCTACATGAAATAATGTGTTTTGTATTTGACTGACCAACAAAAAAACAGAAGGATACTTTGTTTCTACGTGACGTCATTATATATTTCCTGTTGTTTGGTGATCAAATAAAAATGGAGGTAAGAAAACCTTGTACCATTTTTTTCTTTTTTAAAATGAAGTCTGTAATTAATGTGTAATAATTCAATAATAATAAAGATTAATATAAAGTCTGAAATGTTCTGATTTTTTTATATATTATAGTGACATCAGAATAGATTATTTTTATTGATCTTAGTTTAGAAATTGTACAGTTCTGAAAGTATATGTAGTATATTTCACTTAACAAAGGAAGCGTAAATAAAATACTATATAAAAATACGTTATATACATTAAAACAATAAGTTAATTGTTTCATATATAAATGTAATTATTACAGGAGGCCATTGATGAAGCTGTGAAGACGGCCAGTGTACCAGTATCTAGTACACCACGAGGCACACAGACAGCGAGATCCATGTCCAACACACCGTCACAATATGGTCATAATAAATTCGTCGGCACTCCATATAAAAATAGAGTAAGCCAAGTGTCCATGGAAAATACACGTCGACTTTCTTTATTAATTGATCGTTTATAAGATTTTTTTTATTAAATACAGCACTTTTGTCATGGTGATTTTCATTGGAGTACCGTGAGGTTTATATTATCTATTTATACAGATATACGCCTCATATATTTTATATTATAATTTGAGAATGGTAGAATTATGTTATATACATATGAATATTGTTCTCAAGAAACTACAAAACCATGCTAAGTTACTTAAAGTCATTTCTGTGTTTAACATGTCAGAGGAGAAATAATAAAAGAACTCTCAAACAAATTTTATCTTTGTGATAAAACTTAAAACATTCATTAACAAGAAAGATAACTCCTAGATAGATTATATTAAAAGTGTATGTTTGATTACCTCCCTTGGTTATGGAGGAGAATTTGTGTGTCAATGTACGCCGAGATTATGGGCGATTTTGCATTTCAAGCATTTTGGTTTTGTTTAACTGAAAAATATTTAAATTAATTTTCATTCCTCCAGGAGTTGTAGATTTGGATATTTTCATATAATTATTCGTACAATAGGTCCTGAAAAATATCGTTGCTGTAACTGATAGAAGCGTGTGAACTGATAGTGTCATGTAGAGCTTTTATCTTTTTATTTGTCATGTTTTCTGGGGGAGGGGTTGTTGTTGTTGTTGTTGTTGTTTTTGTACTGCTGTCTTTTCGTATGACGTATATGTATATTTCCAATATGCATTCGTCTTTTCGCGTGGCGTGCATTAAATTCGTACGCATAAATTCGTATTTTTACGTGGCGTCAATCATATGCGTACATTCATATTGTCGTTTGGCGTCATTTGCTGGCATACATTCGTATTTTTATGTGGCGTGCATTCTTATTCATTTTCGAGTGGCGTACATTCGTATTTTCGTTAAAAGGAAAGATAACTCGAGATGTAAAAAGAAATGTACAAACCAAGTTTTTCTTAATTCGTTCTTTCGTCCCGCCACGCGAAAGTACTTACGGTGCAAAATAACCAATTATAGTCTTAACTACTTATAATCAAAAAAAAATAATTATCATTTCAGGAGATGAAGACAAGAGAGATGTTAAAAGAGGAGAAAAATATAAATAAGTTATCACACAGAAACCGAATTCAAAGAACACCCAGCATACAGGACATCCGGGCAAGAGAAACTAAATTCACAAACGACGCAATTGTAACAGGTCAGCTAAAATTCCAGTTTATTTGAATATTGAGAGGTTTTAACGGTTATATAATAAAAGGTGCATAGCCAAATCAAGAAACAAACCAATCTTATTTAGGTCTCATTGATAAATATGAACATAAGGATTTTGTCTCCGAATATAGCTTTGTCAGTCCTGTTGTGCATTTAAGTCTAGGGAATTATCATAAGATCTGTTTACGTAACATGAAGCCCGAACAAACCAGTCTTGTTTTTGTTTTTGGGAAAGTCAAAAAGAATTTCAAACTTTGAATGAGCAAACGATTCAATTATCAGCAGACGACAGTGATTGTCGCGTGTCTTTAAATAAAGTAAGGTTTAATACTATGCAAATAATTAAAAAGCTGATTTTTTTTTCACTTGTATGATATAACAGAAAAAAGACGAACAAGGTTCAAAGATATAATCCCCCAATACGACGCCTCCTCAGACCGCCATTGTAAAGCCTACTTCAAGAGAAAAGATGTTCAACAATTACTAAATGTTACCCGATCAGCAGAGTAAGTATTACATACATTGTATATCATAATATACATATTTGAGCCGCACCATGACAAAACTAACATGGTGCTTTTGCGACCACGCAGTCTGATCAGGATCCATGCTGTTCGCTATCAGTTTCTCTACTTGTAATAGGGTTTGTACGCAAACAACATGGATCCTGATCAGACTGCGCGGATGCGCAGGCTGGTCTGGATCAATGCTGGTCGCAAATGCAACATGTTGGTTTTGTCATTGCGCGGCTCATTTAATATTCTAACATCAGTTATAAATTGTTCACATTAATAAATGAATCAATTTTTATTCTCTAATTTCTACTAAGTGTGATTTATAGGTTAAAGAATTGAATACTAACTTACCCGTTCACGTTGTATTCGAGTGAATGATATAAAAACATGATATTCACCACTTGGAACTTGCTAGCATTATAGGACCCATCACCTCCTTACCCCCTACCCCACACTTGTTTGGGGTAGGCCTCTTTAATCCTAGAAGGCCATTGTTATTTCTAAATTTTATTATTTCTAAAAGACAACCCTCATTGAAGTATCTCCATTTTTTCGATCGCACATTTCAGTCCAAATTTGGTATCTTTTGTTAAACATTAAAACATCTTTATTCACCAAAAACAGACTATAACCACTATAACCGTATTATTAATAAGGTCTGCGATTGGAAAATGACGTTACGTCAATCTAAATTGACACGTGTTACATCTGACGCTACATTACGTAGACAGCCGTCAATATTCCAGAGCTTACTTCAATCTGACGTAAAATTTGTTTAAACAAAGGCAATTCAAAAAGTTCACAAACTCTTATTGTTTCACCAGTGAAAATGTTAATAATAGTTGACAGGATTTCCAAAATCTGACCGTCGAAGATTCGCAAGTAAGATATTTTAATCTTACTCGAAGAAACACGATACCAGACAGACGGACAGTCAGTCAAACAAAATGCGTTCATTAAACGCCTACACTCTTATGTAGACAAAATTCACTGACACAGTGTCAAGATATTTTACTGCTAAGGTCATGTATAAATAAATGAAAAAATAAAATCTCGAACATTGAAGTATAGATATGCATAAAATTGAGATGTTTAGGGGCGGAGACAGACGAATAGGCCAGTCAAAGACAGTTTCCGCCGGGCATTAAAATGTCAATAATAAAAATAGATCGCAACAATAAGTATGACTGCATATTTTCTGACAAGCGCTTAACACTGATTATAACGTTAACTATCCAAATAACTTGTTAGTTTTCCTGTTAAGATAGAAACATTAAATTTAGTTTATCTCGAGGTAGGTTAGTTTAAAAGCGAGGTTAAAGGGAGGCTACCAAGCCAAGAATTTAATTTGCTAACGGTTTTGTCTCCCTTTGTTAATATTTATTTTAAATGCCAATTTTCTTTCAGAGAAAATAAGATGGAAAATTATTGGAATAGAAAAATGACTATAGCCAAACGCTACAGCCTGTTTGGTAGAGAAAATGGTAAAATTAATTAATAATGCATGCCCTGCATAAGTAGATAGCTATGCATATTGTGCAGTAGAAATTTAGTAGATTCTATAGCGTTAGAGCATCTTAATAACATGTTATCAATTTAATAGAGGTATCGTAAAATTTAACGTTGTTCTATTCTATGCTTTGCATAAAAATGTTGTTGTTGTTGTTGTTGTTGTTGTTGTTGTTGTTGTTGTTGTTGTTGTTGTTTTATGTACAGTCAAACCTCTGTTGTGATAGGAACAAAAACAGCAAGTTGTCACTAAAACTATTTTAAAAAACCGGTATTTGGTTTACCTTGCAAAAAAGTTATGTAATAACGGGTTAAGTCCTTCTAAATTTAAAAGGAGTTAACCAGTTATTGCACTAAGGTGACGATGTCTTGTTTAATTTTTACCTGCTGGAACCTATGACTATGGTATGGTACCAGTACAGACCTAGGTCATCCCGCATACACGTGCCGTCTGACTAGGCTCGATACAGCTTTGGTAACTTTTTTTAACCTTAAAATTAAACGGGCTATTACAAATTCAAAGCGGTTATGTTCATTACAGGAATTCGGCAGGTTTTTGGTTAATGATGATAATCGTCAATACAGATAACCTGTAACCGTCTTTTAATGCAGGTTTCACTGTATATTAAACATTCAGTTTTGTATCTGAAGATATATCCGTCTTCCTAGCTTTTTGTTTAAATTGTAGTTTAATTTAAACAGATTTTTTTCATTATTTCATATGTAATTATTCAAAACAAATATGTGCATGCAGAAATTGTTGTTGTTATTATTGTTGTTGTTGTTGTGGTTGTTGTTCATTTATTTATGTTTTTAGTTAGATGTCATACCATTTTCGCAAGAAAGACATCCCTCCTGTTTATATATGGCTTATAAATAAAACATATACTAGTAGATAAGTAAATACCAGTGGTTGGTTTGCCTCTTCTCGTTTATAATCGGATGCCATAAATGATGTGCCTTTCAAAAACCGTTTCACATAACAAGTACGGTATTCTTTCAAAATGTGTTTTATTTCCACATTTAATGTGTATGTTTTGAGCTTATTGCCTGTGAAAATTTAATTTAGACAAGTGTTTTCAATTGCCATGCTTAAATGCTTAGATTTGTTTAGTGGTTATAAACAGGGAAAGTTTACATATTGTGTAATCATCAATTTAGATTCATATCTCTTACTGTGGATATATAAAAACTTATCTATAATTTTCTACTTTATCGTGACAGAAAATCAATTGTAAACGAGGAATGACTTAAAATCAATACGAGGTTTATGGTAGAAAAGGCCTCCACTGGAAGCTTATGTCAACAGACACTTGATATTTTCGGTCTTCTTATCTAAATTGTCAATACCGCCACCAGGAGATTCATTATATGTCTATCTATAAACATATATGTAAACTATCATAAATAACAATATCATTTTTACGGTATACTTATCTTCTTACCCCCCCCCCCCCTTCATCCTCCCCAATATAACCTTCGTAATGACGTAATGAATTTAATTAAGATGGTAATTTGTTATATTGTATGTACAGATTTTGTCTTTTATCTCTCAATTTTTTAACTATTTAAACATTTAAGAAACGAGATATTTTTCTTCAGCTTACCAAATGTTATATACAGGTGATATCAAATGATAAATCTATCTTCTATAGCTTAACCCGATGAATACCTATGTTGTCATAGTACAATAGATAATTATGTTTTATTATAATACATGTATACGTTATCTCTCGAATGTGCCAGCAATAACTTTTATATATATCAGATCTGGCTAAAATACACTATTTTAGTGTAAAAATCTAAGATTGGGCTTAAATCATACGCAATTGTTATATCGAGATTTCAATGAAGAAATTATCGAAACAAATAAGTATGCAGATTATAGGGTAAGGCGGATAAATCCATATGTAAACATATTGTTTGAAATTGCAATTACACGGCTATATATCTTATTGACATTATATATAAACAGTAGTCTTGCATTGAAGTTTTATTCAAATATTGATGACCCGATAACACCCATTTAATGTATTGTATACCATTAAATTGCTTTGTAGACATACAAAATATAGAACCGGACCAAATATACAACAATGTATAAGGTTATACATGAATTATATACATGAATACTGCATTATATTCTATCCCTGTATAAAAGGTGTAGAATGAAATGCGTGTAGAATCTTACTCATATTTATGTTTACATGATTTAAATGTCCTCGTCGACTCTAGATTTTAAAATGCATTGAATTTGATATCTGCATTTGAAAGGAATTCACGTATACAGCATTTTATCTCTAATTCAAATCTATTATAAGTTTGTATCAGTAAAAAGACAGGCAATAAGCGTACGGAGTGAATACGTACATAGCTTCGAAAATTATTTTTTACAGAAAGCTGATTACTGTTCATGTTATTTTATGTTATGTTATGTTATGTTATGCTATGTTATGTTATGTTATGTTATGTTATGTTATGTTATGTTATGTTATGTTATGTTATGTTATGTTATGCTATGCTATGCTATGCTATGCTATGCTATGCTATGTTATGTTATGTTATGTTATGTTATGTTATGTTATGTTATGTTATGTTATGTTATGTTATGTTATTTATTTATTTATTTATTTATTTATTTATTTATTTATTTATTTATAATAATATTTACAATAACAATGTACATAGACATGCACACATATTTCATTTCAATCAAGTAAAGCTGATAAGCTGCCCCCACTCCTCCGGCCCAGACAACATGATAACAGTTTTATACAAGATAACGCATTTTAAAGGGACTCCACTGTCAATTTTTTGACATGATAGAAATGAAAATAATTTCCAAGATTGATATTCCATATGATGTAGGTCTTGACCAATAGCTTATGTGTAAAATATCGGATCATTCGCTCTCTCATATTTCCAGAATAATGATTATAATTGAAAATTGATCGAAAATCGAAAAGCGTTGCAAAGCTTTTGACTCATATCATGCTAAAGAAATACGAAAAAATGTGATTTTCAATTAATTTCTGAGTATATTTCTTAATTATCTTTTGCATATCTTTCTTAAATTCCCCGGTTGATTTATGTATTTTAGTTTATTTTAAGCTTTTGGACCTCAGTGGAGTTCCTTTAAAATGGTCATTAAATACAGGGTCTGATAAGTGAAGGCAATGAGTGCTATTTTTCCTTAACTAATGAGGTTAACGTTTCTGAAAAACAACATTATAATCAATTATTGTAACTTTATTGAGTAAAAATAAATTCGATTTATAAATGTAAAATATTTACGATATGATATGGGGCGGGATGGGGTCTCATGAATGACTGAGGGAAAAAAGGGAAAACCTGAACAAAATACTTTATTGTACTTTCTAACCAACTTTTAAAGTCCACGTTATAAATCGTCGCCTTTGTCTTGGGAACCTGGACAACAGTGTAAAAATATATTGAACATGTTTTTTAATCTGATTTACCGGCGACGGTTTAAGAACGTTAATATTTTAATACAAAGTTGTCAAATGACCATTGATTTTTAGCAATCATTAACAATTGTACATGTTTATAGTTTAAACACATAACTTATCCGGTTTTAAGTTTTAAATCATAATTTCTATACCAATGTTTTGTAATTCAATGTGTAAATCCGACTTATTATTAATACTGAAAGGCATTAATCTATCGGTGCCATTTATGGGTAAGCATTTATCGGGTAGTTGGAGCTATGTTTTGTATTACACTACGGCTAGGGTTTTTTTGTTCTACATAGCAACAGGCCAGGGCATTCGTTTCGTCGATTGTTAGCGAATGATCTTGTGTTATAATCATACCAAGTTAATCGAAGTGTTACAAATTTTGATATCTGGAACAAACATTGACTTGTGCTGTGAAAACGGAATAACTTTAAATTGTTTGTGATAGGAATGGCCCTAGTTTGTTAAAGACGTTTGATAAGAATAAAAGTGTTTATTTAAACATTTGACTGGATAGTTAACATAAGAAACTGTTTTGATATTTTGTAGCACTACCCCAGCCGGAAGTGTGACTCCAGGAGTAACTCCGTCCATACGAACACCAAGACAGACGCCAGGAGCGACCCCTTTTTGAACAGAATGACAGACGACAGATCAAAATCCGCTAAGCGACATAATAAATTATATCGTACCCCACCCACTCCTCCTCCCGAGAAATTAATGATGGAGGAAAGAGGTTTTGTACTTGACTGTAATGCAGTCAGCAGCATTTCTTCTGACTTTGCTAAAGCTAATCCTAAACTAGGGCCAGTTATTCCTCCTTATAATTCGCAAAAGGATGAACATGTTAGTAATTATTTCAAATTTCAAGGCGTTGATAAAACTCTAGAGAAAACAGGACAGGTTTGTTTATTTTATATACATATTTATTATTATATCCTTTTCTCATTTTCTAGTTCAACATCGACTCATTTTTATTTCTATTTGGTTCAGGTCATTTGAAAATTTCATCGTAAGATCTGTCGTTTATTGTACATTTTGATTTTGAATTTTTTTATTCTGTTATAATTTTTCGATTGTATTTCTCATTATAAAAGCTACCTTTTCGTTGATACAGAGACATTTTTCAATGTTGTCAGTATACCGGAATTGTAATACAACATAAATTTGTCATTCTGTACTTGTTTCTCATAAAAAAATCAGCGCGCCAATTTTTTAACTTTTCTTATCACTAACATATATTTACATTTAAAATCATTTTTGAGATGGAAATATTCATCTTACACATTGGAAAGAATAGCTTTACTATGTTGTAAGTTAACGGTTAAGGAAATTCACATATGAAGATTGTTTTACAATAACTGAGACATTTGAGAGGCGAAAGTAAGACTTATATTATATATGCCGATGTTCATCAATATTTAATCAGTATTTTTGGGGTTGCCTTGTCTTTTAGTAGTGTAACGTATTAATATATGGAACTGCTGACATTCTTCTAGAACGCTCTGATTGTACAAGTAAAATAATGTATTTATTTGTCATAATATGTGTAAATAAGATCTGCTTTCTGTTGTTGTTGTTGTTGTTATTGTTGTTGTTTATGAAAGGTTTGTTTGCTTTAAATGCGTGTGCTAAATGGACATTCAATATGTGGGTTGACTTCTGTCGTTTTCTGTATGAAATTCATCTTTCTGAATCAAATGTGTTTATTTAATGATATTATTTATATATAGTTTTATATATATACAGTATCCATAAACAAAAAACCTGCATAAAATATGTGATACTTTCATTGTTTTATTTATTTGAGATGTATGTTGTTTATTTTTTCTTTTATGTTCAGATATTTGTTTAGCTTTAAACAAATTTATTGGTCACGAGCTGTCACGTGACCTATTTAGCTCATGAACAATAGAAATGGAGGAATAAAACTGCCTGAAATGGTTACGTTAATTTAATAATATATTCAATCAATTGTTTCAACAAGTATAATGTGTATGCATATCATATAATAGAACATATTTAGTGGTGTTAAACTGTTTACTTTGTATACTGGAGGTTTCATGTTAAATGAGTGTTTCTTTCGTAAATAAAAAGTGTGTCTTTCCCAACTATTTAGTTATCACTTTTTCTATGACTTATATATTTTAATTTAGACCCTTGAGGATACAGTATCGCATAAACCCTACATAAAAGGTACATACGTATCCACTTTCAGTGAATATTTGGGCTAGTAAAGTCAGCGTTTATTTGGTCTTATTTAATCTCTTTTCTTTTCTTTTCTTGTCATTCCGCTATCGATGTGCACTTGAGCAGTTTCATTGCGTAAATATTCTTAAATTGATATTTCAAAGATGATGATGATTTATTCATTAAATTTATAACTAAAAACATCTATTTAATAAGTTCACAGGCTTATATTGATATGCTATTAAAACAGAATGTCAAATAACTATAGAAAATCAATTTAACTTTGGGATTATAAGTCTGAAATTCGACACGTATGTGCCATGTTTTTCTATAAAAGTTTTATTGTATACCTTATCTATACAGTGTTAAAGACCGGCCCGCACAATGCCAATACAAAAAGTACATAAATGGTCTTTATTTAAACGTGAATAAACTACGCCAATATAAGTTCTCCTATATCGTTAAGTGCCAAATTCAGTTCTATATCGAACTTTTAAACTTACAATGACTTTCAATTAAATTCATCGTAATGTCAATCAAAAGAAAAATAATGTCAGACGGTGCACGTGTAATACAGAGTAAATCCGTGAAGATATGCTCAACCCGATAATGAATATTTCCTAAAGTGTTTAACTAAAGCGCGGAGTATTTTTATCGGTAACAGAAGATCAATTTCCATGAACATAAATATCATATTTAACCAATAAAAGAAATAATTGGCAAGCGTTATACATAACTTCAAACGCATTAAACTTTACTTTACTAATTCAAATGAATACACGTTCAAATAAAAGGAATACGAGCTAGAGGCACGGTGACGTTGTAAGACGGTGTCTGTGCACAGTAATGTTTAAATTTATATCATTCTAGCTAGGTTCATTTGGGTCAAGGTATATTTAATCAGGATATGACCATAAATAATTCTAAGGAAAATTTTAAAAATAAGTATTGACTGAACAGCGAACAGTGCAATCTATAATGACTGTACATATGTACCGGCTGATCTGCTTTGTTCGCCTTGTAGATTATAGTCGCTACTAGTTGGCTAAATGTTATTCAAGGCAAATGTCGTCGTTGCCTGAATTTGAACACTTTTGAATTGGTTTATAGTCAACTTGGTTATAATTATATTAAGCTCTGTGCCGTGAAGTGGGATAGCTAACCCACTCAATAATTTGAGGAGACTTAACGATTGAATGACTAATTATCGTACAATCTTATTATAAGTGGTTATATCATGAAAAATGATTACAAGTATCACGTCTGGTAAACGAAATCACTGTATCATTTATTGCAAGTTTATCAAATTCAACCTGTATCATTTGTTGCCAGCACAGGAAGTAGATGCGCTTACCGACTGTAACTAATGTTGGATAGTTCTACTTAAGTATGAAACATTTACTTGATGATTACATTGAAAGATTTATAGAATCTAATATAAGTTGTCATCTTATCTCTAGAACTTCTATTAAAAAATGTAGCCTATGTATGGTGGCTGATTTCGAATACATTTGTGCGTCGTGTTGTCGCTAGCGACTTTCGTCTTGTCGTCCTGTCGCTAACGATGCATGCCAAACGGCGCGTTGTCGTGCGGCGTGCTGTCGTTATGTCAAATGTCGCTCGGCTCAAATCGAAGCATTGGCTATTTGTATATATGTAAGCCAAGCGACAGGGAGATATCGCGACAACGCGCCGAACGACAACGCGCCGTTTGGCATGATTCGCTAGCGACAGGACGACAGTGCGACAACGAGCCAGGCTAGCCTGAAATTCCGTGCAGTCTGACCAGGCTATATACTGTTGGCTGACTGACTTTAAATTTTAATCTTGAAAAACCCAAAATCTATAATGGAATGTTCCGAAAATGGAAGCTTTAAGTCAAAATGAAAGACTTAGAAGGTTAAATGATAACAAATAAATGAAAAATATGGGATAGATAAAAGTAATTGACACAATTAAGTTTTAACATAGTGTATGGCAGTACAATATCAGGATACTCGTGCAGCTATAACAACATTATGGTGCGAAGTATGTGTTCTGTTGCTGAAGGTGGTTATGTATGCAAAATCGTGAAATCATCGTTCATCTGTCCGAAATTGTGAAATGATCGGTCGTCTGTTTGAAAATTTTGAAATGAGCGTACGTATTTTCGAAAAACGGGAAATGAGCGTTAACTGTCCGAAATCGTGAAATGATCGTCAATCTGTCCGAAAACGTGAAGTGATCGTTCATCTGTCCGAAAACGTGACATGATCGTTCATCTGTCCGAAAACGTGACATGATCGTTCATCTGTCTGAAAACGTGACATGATCGTTCATCTGGCCGAAATCGTGAAGTGATCGTTCATCTGTCCGAAAACGTGAAATGATTGTTTATCTGTCAGAAATCGTGAAATCATCGTTCATCTGTCCGAAATCGTGAAATGATCGTTCATCTGTCCGAAATCGTGAAATGATCGTTTGTCTGTCTGAAAATTTTGAAATGAGCTTACGTATTTTCGAAAACCGTGAAATGAGCGTTTATCTGTACGAAAATGTGACATGAAATTGTTAATTTGTTCAGATACATTTCATCAATAGGAGAAGTGACTAAAAGCATCATGGCGATGGAAACAGCCAAACGAGTTTTAAGCATTTATGTGAAGCATTGTCAGTTGTGTAACATGTTCCGAGATAGCTCAACAACACTTAATATATGTCTTTTATGGTAAACTTCTTTATCGACATTCGAAGAAGTCAAGGTGCAAGGGACAAGATGTCAGCACGATGTTTGCCAGATAGAGACGTCATCAACACCAGCTACATACTCGCCGAGGACAACAACTTTTTAGATTTGTTTCATGTTATAAAAGAACGTAGCCGTTCAATTGTTGTTGTAACGTCAGAGACAGTGACTTTAGCGTTTAAAGTTTAACGTAAAAGTCACGAGTAAACTCATTGATGGTCAACTAACTGTGACCTTTCTCCGGAAAAGTTGGTTTATATGAGGAATTAATTTATGTTAAATACATAACCAGCTCAAAAATTTGAGTGAAGTATTACTTCTAATCAATAAATATAAATTTTATCATTGAAATGACAGGTAAGTACGTGTATATATTTTCTTGTTTAATGTATCATACTGACAGAAAAATGTTACTTGTATTTTCAGGCTCCTCCAGGTACATCTATAAATGGTCACGTGATGGATTATTTTGAAGAACGTGGTCCAGGGAGTCAATATGTTAGCTTAAGAAATGAAGCAGGGGCCGGTGAGTGTAAAATACATTTTGTATCCGCATTTTGTTTAATAAAACAGTCTCAACGTCATATTTTGCATTAACATGAAGTTGACCTACTTTTAATGTTTCCTCTTTACGCTTTGACTAGACTATTATAGCTTCTGTCACATATTTAGTTTATTGAGACCCAATTACTAAATTAAGTACTTCAAATGTCGTAAATTTAAATTCTTAAAAGACTAGTGGTATTCCTTTTCAATTCAAATGTCTAACTGACAGAATTCTTGTTCTTTTTACAGGATATTCGAGTGAATTACGCGATGGGCATGCGCAATTTATGCAAGGAATTAAACCTGCTATTGGTTACAACGGTCAGTTTGGCTTCAGACGAAACACACCATGGCTCCGGCAAAGTCCGTCCAAATTCGGAACAGCGAGCAGATCTCCAGCCCATGAAATAACCGTAGTGCCGCGTACCTCCGGGAAAACAGTGCAAGCCAAATAAACAATGTCTACCCTGTTATATCGTCTTTCTATTTGTAATCGGGGATAAAAAAAAATTCTCTTCCTTTCATTGAATCATTTAAATACGTTACTCATTTTTACGTGCATCATGTATTGCTCTGTATGATTTTTGAGGTAAAGTAAAACTTGAACTGAAGATTTTGTTTCCTGTAGTCGAGTCAAGGACGAATTCTGAAATACTACTTTATGATTTTTTTTCTGTACATACGTTATCATTATAAAGTGATGTTCAGTGTCTTTTTTTCAAGAGTACCGATTTTTTTACTATAAATGTGCTGTTAGTAGTCATAAAGTTTTGCAAACATAAAAAAATATACATGCATCCACTTTGTTTTGAAAATAAACAAACATAAACGTGAAAGTGACTGTGTTAGATGGCTTTTTTTTTCTCTTTTCTTTTTTTAAATACAAGAAACTCTTTGGTCATAGATTATGCTTTATTTGAAAGGCTGTTCACCAGAATAGTTCACATGAAAAGTCTGTTATTATTTAAACATTATTTAAAAGAATTCTGGGCTGCAGTATTAACAAGAATAAATTATACCTCAAACATTATTTTCTTCTTCTGCTTCACATTTTCCAACATTTAAAACAAAAAAGATCCGCATAGTGCGGTCCTTAACATTATGTTAACATCATATAAACGACAGATTTATAAAAAAAATAGATGAATGGGAATTGATAAAAAAAAAGATCTAGTAGGAAAAGTGACGCTATATGAGTAACCTATCATAATATCGCTCGCCATTGGTGATATATTTTATGCCGAGTTTTTTATTTTCCTTTCAAAGAAAAGACGGAAGATGAATGTTTGTTCAGATAATATGAGAACTTCTGAATTATCCGTAATCACAAAAGTTATTTTATATCAGTATACATGTACATTTTATCATTTATTAATGTTTTAATTGGTTAGATGGTCCGTCTGTTTATATAACTGCTTATATAACCGGTCTTATAACCTGTCAGAATTAAGCCTTTGTAACTACATGATAATATTGCACAGTTGATTTCTTTAATTGCAAAAAGGATTCAAAAATTTGTAGCAACCGTGTATATAGACAATGTTAACGTCGTGACTGTCAATAGAAAATTGACGTCTGCCACATACACTGACTGCATTGGATGAAAATATACGATGAGCGAATTCCAGTAAGCAGTTGCTAGAACTAAATCCTGAATGAAAAGGTCAATGTTAGATTAATTGATCTTGTACTTGTACATATATAATAACGTCGGATCAAACTCCGTGCGTCCGTTTACCCACTTATATAAAAAAAAATACCCTACCTAAGCAAATATACTTGTGGTCCAAGATCAAGAACAACCCAACAAACTTTACTGTAGACGTAATGCAAATTGTTCAATTTAGGAATATTTCCTTATATAGTTGCAATCATGGCAAAAAATGTAAGTTCTGCGCTGATCCACGCCCATGCAAGAAATATTTCTGTGTTTATTACTAGATAAAAAATAAACTTTGGATCACTGTTAAGGATAGCTGTTTTCAAGGCACAATATCCTTGTTTCATTGGCAAGACGGCATCCATTACCGTCCCACATTCTGTCTGTCGTGCAGCTCATTGATATAGGCGCGTCCCTGTTGCGTGAACACACAATGAATCTGTTACAGTTGGCACAATCATAGAATATACCTCGTTTATTCGCACACGCCATCTCATCGTTGTCATATAAACACACTGAAAAAATATAGTTCTTAATAAATCTGTCTAAAAGTGCCAGTGTGATCTTGTCAAATACCGTATTATATGGTGGTTAATTTTGGTACACTTTGCGCCGTTGACGCACTGTCGTCTTGTCGTCCTGTCGCTAGCCGGCGCTTTGTCGTGCGGCGCGTTGTCGCAATGCCGCCCTGTCGCTTGGTTTAAATATATACAAATAGCCAGTCCTTCGAATTGAGCTGAGCGACAATGTGACATCGCGATAACACGCCGCACGACAACGCACCGTTTGGTGTACTTCGTTAGCGACAGGACGACAGTACGACAGCACGCTGTTTGACGCTTTGTCGTGCTGTCGCTAGCGACAATACGACGCACAAAAGTGTTCCAAATCAGCCACCATAGTATTATTACATTATGAGGGCACAAATTAGAATGCGAAAACAGGGGTAATAACTTTCACTACAAAGAACATTCAATAAGGATTTATTACCCCTTAATCCAGCAAAATTATATAACGGAAATGGTCCTGCTCTGGTCTTTTTAATGCGGGGTATTCAGTCAAACTTCGCGACTGGGAAGGCTGGCAAGATCGACATATACCTATAGTCATTGAAACTTGCAGCATGGTGGGGCGGATATTGAGAAAATAGTGCAAATGGTAATACAAGCATGAAACTTTCAGAAAATCATCTTTCGACTAAAGAATTACGAATTTTACTGCAGAGAAAGCATTACTAGCATTGCAGGTTACTCTATGTTCTCCAGATAATTCGTTTTTTGGTAATATAAGTTATGTTTGTGTGTGATTACATCAAATGCAATAACATAAAAACCTCGTGCAATGTCTTCTGCTATTAATTTGCTTTAAATACTTAGTATTTCTTCCTCATTATTTTCAATGTTTCCTACTTCTTTTGTTAGATATTTAGTTTTACCGGGTCATATATTTTAGCACTGCAAAACAATAAATAATGTATTATATTATTGACGTTAGATATTGTAAGATAAACTGAAAACTTACTATCGTTACAATTACGACCTCGCCAATTTCCGCGGCAAATACAAGTCACGTGATCACCATTGGTTGCACATATTCCGTCGTTTTTACATGGATTGTTATTGTCACAGCTTTTGGCCTCATCCATGTCGGAAATGACTACATAATAAATGTCAAAATATTACTTAATTTTCTCTAGAAAACCAGACAATTATTCATTTTTATTTTTTTTCTATTTATTTTATTTTATTTATTTATTTTTTTGCAAAGTACAGCTATACATTTTTGTGGGTTTTTTTCTGTTTCCAAGACAAAATTGTTGTCAATAAAAATAACTGTCAGTCCTTTCTCGTACCCTCTGTTTTCGTACCCTCTGTTTTGTCGGTCAAGAAAATATCTTTACTTCTATTTTTCGAAACAGAGAAGGCACGTGATGTGGGCTCAGTTAATCAAGCAACTTTATCCTGCTAATAATATAAACTTACATTTTACCGATGGGGGACATTGTATGTAACACATTCTTGATTGTTCTTTACCACCAATACAATTAGAACCAGTAGGCTCGCACTCCCGAAGTCTGGACTGAACACCTTCGCCGCATCTCGCGGAGCATGTCCCCCACATACGCCAATCTGACCATGTACCTGTAACAGATTAATGTTAGAGCGTTATGATCTAGTTACACCTTGTAATAGTAAGCTGATTAAAAGTGGCTTGAAATGTTTCCAATTATCCAAAATCAATATGTAAATTTCGGTGACTTTTCATAACTTTGATCTTTAATAATAAAATTTCCCCCAACACTTGTCAAAGACTTAATATAAAGTTTGCAAAAGGTGATCAACACTGGAGTGTATTATAGATTTGTAACTAAATTCTTCATCTCAAGTAAAGTATGCTGCTGTCAGTTAAAATAAGCCCGAATCCTATTTTTATTTCTCTGATATTTGTTATTTATTTTAATCATTCACTTGTACATTAAATAGTAAAAGCTAGAAAGTATCATTTGAGTCTATGTTATCAAACAATAAATTTAAAGATCTTGTTCTTTCTAAAACTTTAATAATATGTTTTACTTAGTAAATATATAAAATATTTCATACCTAAACAGTCGTCATTTATACATTCTCTAGTCTGTGTATGTTCTAACAGGCACGACTCTTCATCTGTATACTCACAACAGTCCGTGCTATTACCCGTGCTGCACGAGCGTGTACGTGTACGCATTCCGCCACCACAAGTACGTGTACAAACAGACCATTGCCCCCAATCTGACCACCATTTCTGCACGACTGAAAAAATCAGATTTCCTGCCCATTACATACTAGATGTTGTACTTTATGAAAATATTACTGTTAATGTAAGAAATTCAACAAGTAAATCTATATTGAATGAGTGAAGGTTTGAAATACTGAATTTATTGAACAAATTAAATAAATCTCATGCGAGCATCTGACGTGCATAAACTTATTTTATTGAATGAGTTCAATAAATTTATTGATAAAGCTATTTGAATTTATCAATACTAAGTTTATTGAACAAGTTGAATATTTATCATATTACACGGGCTTCTTGTGAGCAAATTATTGTTTTATTCATAGAGTTCAATAAATTTTGTATTGAAGCGTTACGAATATAATATTCTATTTATCACATATCCAAAATAAGAATGGTTTACAGTAAACAAGAAAATAAATCATTGTCGCTCCTATAATGTAACGCTAACATTACATGAGCCACGTCACGACAAAACCAACATAATGCGTTTGCGACCAGCATGGATCCAGACCAGCCTGCGCATCCGCGCAGTCTGATCAGGATCCATGCTGTTCGCTATCAGTTTCTCTACTTGTTATAGGGTTGGTAAGCGAACAGCATGGATCCTGATCAGACTGCGCGGATGCGCAGGCTGGTCTGGATCCATGCTGGTCGCAAACCCATTATGTTGGTTTTGTCGTGACGCGGCTCATATGTAATAAACGCTTAATGAAGTTGTTAAAATGTTGATAATCCTCATAAATGTCATAAACTAAGTTTGGAAATTTCCGCATGTTATGACAAAGAGTTCACGAATATAAAATGTTGAAACGTAACACACTTTACAACCACATATTTGATACTGTAGTATATTAATTAAGCATCAATTATTGATATTTCAGTACATCAAAAATATACCGTAAACTTAATTATAATAATGTAAATAATTTTCGGAAAAAAGTTCATAAAATTATAAAATATTTTACATATAAATCAATACCAAAGTTTCGTCGAAACGCAATTATACATACATGTATTAAATTCTAAATGTGTATTTATATGGTAAAATTAGTCTTAATTTTAAATCTATAACTAATAGAAAAAATATAATATAATGTACAGTATCAGTAAAAATCAAAATAATCTCAATATGTAATTAAATGTTAAACCTTCTGTATCACAATCGGAGAGTACACATGTTGAAATCATTTCTTCTGCTCCTTCACATACCCCACCCATACATGTACGTTGCCGTGTGCGTACACCATTTCCGCACGAAGCACTGCACGCGGACCACGTGCTCCAATCGTTCCATTCAGCCACTGTTTAAAATTTAAAAGTTCATCATCAGTTTAACGTCACTAACGTTTTTCCTTTTAATCACAAGGTCAATTATTTTCATAAAATAAAAACAATATTTTATTTATTATTAAAAAATAAAACATATGCACAAGATATATAAAATTTAGGCTATAGTTAAACGTTGAAATTCAATAGATAATTTTAGGCTGTTCGGATATAATAAAATCAAGTACTGTCCTACCAGCAAAATTCCACAGGCTCGAACAAATGACCATCGCAAATAACATATTCCATGTTAAAGTTTCCATTATTCATTTATATAGCTAATCACACATATGATGCTTTCATAATAACATTTGAAAGTGTATTTTCGTTCAGAAAATTACAAAACATGAATAGTTTTATGTCTACAGAAGATAAAATCAGATGTACACTCCTGGGACGGTGAAAAGTTTTATTGTCGTGTTTCATGCCTTAAGGTGACCAAATCATTTGACCGTTGAACCTGTTTGTTTATAAACCATGATATATCTGATAGATATGAAATAAACAAGTTACTGGGCAACCACTCTAAAGTAATATAAAATATAATATGATTTACATATTAAAATACATACATTTAGGTAGGATATCGAGTATAAAGTTTTCTTGCTAGAAGCACATGAAGCCCGTTCCCAGGACCTCTCTTAACCTGATGGCATAGTGTCACAATATAATACGTGCTTATAACGAGCTTATCATTATCATTGTATGTATTTAATTTGATGTTGTATTAACAAGATACATGTATTGTATACGTTAATAAAAATTCTGTTCTGTTCTGGTGTTACAATGTAATGAAATCTGGTTTATCTTTTAACTATCAATAACAACTATTAAAATTGTATTTCTTTCAATTATCCACTTTTTTACAGTAAACGAGAGTTTTTCCCGTTTTCCATGGTTTTCAGGCATCTACTGATGAAAATAATATATTTCATTTACTTCATCCTAGATATGTTAACAGGACCGCTCTATAATGCTTTCCAAGTTTAATCGATGTCTGTATGAAATGAAAGCTCATGAAGGATAATTGTTATATTGAACAAGATATAGCAATTGTCTCATTAGTAGATCAACAACATGTTTCATCTATACATGAGGATACTTCAGTAACATCACAACAACAAAACTGAGATACAAGTATGATAATGGCACGAATATTTTTATTGTTTTCGTCCACTTTATATTCTAACTTGGACATATTAGATCGACAGATTATTTGCCCATTTAACAATCAGATACCAGGGTTAACATATAACAGATATGACTGTTTACATGCTTTACCCCCCTCGGGATACATATAGACTTGACAAACAAATACCTCCCCCCAAACACACACTCACCAAACTATTAAAGGTTCTTAAGAAATATTTTGTATTTTAATAAAGAAAAAAATGCGTATTTGTATTTATTATATAATTCTAAATGAAATATTGAGAAAAATCTATAAACCTCTAAATCTATATACCTCCCCCCACCACACTCTCACCCGACAAGCATTAAAGTTCTTAAGGAATATCTTGTATTTTAATAAAGAAAACTGCGTATTTGTATTTATCATTCTAAATGAAATATTGAGAAAAATCTATAAACCTCTAAATCTATATACCTCCCCCCACCACACTCTCACCCGACAAGCATTAAAGTTCTTAAGGAATATCTTGTATTTTAATAAAGAAAACTGCGTATTTGTATTTATCATTCTAAATGAAATATTGAGAAAAATCTATAAATTAATATGCGTGTTTTCATTTTCCGTATTTTCATTGTAAAAATTTATTTTTCACTGCAGTGAAACATATTTTCCGTATTTTCACTGGTGTCTTGCCGGCCTACTTTCTTCTTAATTCAGCCAATACACACAATTAATGTAAAGAAAAGTCTGTCAAATTTTAATGTACATAATAAACAGAAAATTCCAGTTTTTTCTATAAATACTGTCCATAAATACAGGATTTATTTTCATCTTGTGGTATAAAAATCATATACTTCACTCGAGCTAATGAAACGAAGAGTAAAATCATGCAGTCCAAGTACTGACGCAAGAATGAGCATGCGGAATGGCTCTTCCTTTAATATAAATATTTTAGTCAATAAAAGTAAAACAGCGTATACCAAACTATTACAAAAAGTGGAAACTGTAAAATAAATCGTGTACACACAGTAAAATCGAAAAACGTGGGATAACAGATGAAGTCCACGACAACAGATATCGCTACAAATAAAATTCGGGTAAAGTCAAGCATATTGTTTCAAAGCTTACCTTAAATAACTGTTGGCGAACTGCACGCCATGTTAACAATTTCCTAACCATTCAAGAGAATCAATTACATATGACATTATTTTCCTTTTTGAACACACCATGGCTTGCAAATATATAGGATGTTTGTCTTCGAATTATGTACATGTGTTTAACACATAAAAAAGTTCGAAGAGCTTTTGATACAAACTTTATGTATAGTTTACTTACCTACATATAAGGGAGATAAGCCATTTTTTGTTTCAAAACTTAAAAAAATACCATCTTTATGTTAGAAGGAAACGTGTTTCAACCAATGAGGATCAGATTTTAGACATTTTAATAAAGTCAATAAGAAAATATTGGAATGGGCTTAATCAAAGAACATTAAAAAAAACAGCACGAAACTAAGAGTTTTTTAAAGTTTGTCTTAATGCGATGCTAATGCAGTACCATTTATATCGAACAAATGGCAATGTAGACTTTTATATTGATGATTCTTCCACTAAAGATGTATCTAATAATGATTATAATGTAGTATGATATTAGCTAAACTTCAACAAACCTCCAACTAACACGGGCCTGCACCTGACGGGCCTCCAACTGACCACGTAAAAACATACGACCACAGATGACCTGTATTAAAACATTTCTAGAAGTCCTGACTGTCACTCTGGGAGCCTCTATTAAGAATGTTAATTAACAAGGCTTTTCTGGCCTTGTAACCTAGTTTTGACCAGGTTTAATTTAGTTCAAGACATCATTGAGACAACCATTTTGACAAAGTTTGAAGATTCCTTCAAAACTGCATCCTATAGAGTGTTATTAATTCTAAAAAGTGGAAGACAGTCAGACGAATGACCCAATAGCTTACCCTTGAAATATTTAGACACATAATGCCTCAGGAACGATTTTTTTTTCCTTTCTAGAAAGAGAAAAATGAGTTTTATAAAGTTGAAATAGTTGTTTTAGAGCATGACACGTATCACCTGAAGAAAGTAGCACTGAATGTGTAATTGTTTGTCACAAAAGTATCAAAATGTAAACGAAATGGTATTTTGACTTCCATACAAAATACTTTCACTTTAAATCACTTTAACTGTAAAATTACATAAAGGCAACATAACAGAAGCGAAATATAGTTTCTGGTAATTAGCCAATAAGTTACTTTTGGAAAATTTAAGAGGCCACTGAAAACGGAAAATTTTGAGAAATACAAATAAAAGCATTTCTATTGCATAATGGACCTTTAAGTTATCACAGTATTTAAGAATGTGTGAAAGACTGACTGACACATACTCTAAATAGTTAAAGGATAACAACAATCAATACACAGTATATGATATAAGAAAACAGAACACAATTTGTTCATGATTTAAAGTATTTATTTTCCATTATCAATAATACAGAATTATTGTGGAGAAATCCAGTAACAAAGAAATAAAGTGGAACTACATAGTAGGTGTATGGTAATATATTGTAAAATAAAACAACATAAAATAAAAAAAGCATTTCCGGCATAACACATAGTAGGCAACTTTTTTTTACTTCAGAGAATTTCTGTAAATTCAAAACATAAATCTTAACATTATCAGGTGAAATTTGTGTAAACATCAAACAAATTTAGGTAAATTCTCGTAATCACAGAAAGGGTTACAAAAAAATTGTTCAACAGCCAAACATCTCCTGCGTCTGACATATAGGGATCACACATTTTCAGCTAAAACTTTTGAGCAGATGACAGACTGACTCAACAATTTTGTTTTTTGTTTTATTCGACAATCTTGTATAGACAATCTTGTATAAAGATGTAAATGAGAGAGAAACTATATGAGCCACGCCATGACAAAACCAACATAATGGGTTTGCGACCAGCATGGATCCAGACCAGCCTGCGCATCCGCACAGTCTGATCAGGATCCATGCTGTTCGCTATCAGTTTCTCTACATGAAATAGGGTTTGTAAGTGAACAGCATGGATCCTGATCAGACTGCGCGGATGTGCAGGCTGGTCTGGATCCATGCTGGTCGCAAACCATTATGTTGGTTTTGTCATGTCATGGCTCTTTATCAAGTTTCATTAAGGTGTAAAAGCATCCTTCACTTGAGTTGAGTCTAGCTGGAGGTAAACATATTTCAAAGTTTGGCCACTGGCACGTATACTTGACAAGAGTCTTACTCTATGATCTACTCATTAATAAATTTATTCCAAAGATTAATGAACATGTATACATGATCTCAATAGACCCTAATAAATGCAGCACCTCTGCTATTGGCCTATGTACCTGTGAGTAAACTAATACTCAAATTTTAAACTACAACAGAAAAATTCTAACCAAACTTATTAAATATGTCAATTCTGTATCTTTCCGAAAACTGACAAGGTTTTTCTTGTGACCTACTGTAGTTTTGAGTCTTTTGACCTTAAAATCTATCTTTGATCTTGTCTAATATGTTATAAATTTTACCATATAGACTTGGTTTCATTTGACGTCTTAATCAGGTTTTGATACTAGGTTTTTTATTTTTATTTTTATAGTCACACCATTCTTTTTTTTACCCTTAATACAATGTTACAATTGTTGATAATTTTAAAAATAAAGTATTCATATTGCCTTATATGCCTTAAAAATAAAAAAATAAAACATTTATGCCTTTCTATATAATCAAGCACTCCACATTAAAAGAACATAAAACAACGGGAGAAAATAAGCATTAAACATGTATATAAAACAAACAACAAGAAAACAACCAAAATATAATAGACAGCAATAAAAAATCACACTGTAAATAAAATCTAGCTAAGCCTACATGCCAACATATTTCTTTCACCTGTCAATGTGTATAAGAATTTAGTAGAATTTAAAAAAAATGATTCAATGAAAAAATGAACCTTGCAAAAAAAATAAAATATATAAAACTTACAAAAGCAACATCAAAACATACACAACCCCAAGAAAATAAATGAGAATAACACATATCATTCCTTTTTACAGAAAATAACCCCCTTATCAGCTTCTATAGTTTTAAACAATTTTTTTTCCTCTCATGTTTTCAGTACAAAATTATGTTACGTAATTGAGGATCAGCCACTACTATTTATCTGAGTTTCACCGAGTTTACATATGGATACATATGTGGCTAGAG